GCACGTTTTTCCTGTGCAATTCGCATTTGAAATTAAATCTAAAATTGTCCATTGCTCGTCAACGACTGGATAGACCACGTCTTCTTTTTGCATCTTTCGTGGTTTCTCTTTGCAATTCTTATTGTGTGCAAGTTTGGTCCAATTCTGAAGACCTGATTTTTCGATTTTGGTTTGAGAGCTCGGTAAGGCTCTTTTTTTTATTTGCGTGTGGCGCGCCCCGAATCATTTGTGGCAGCCACGAGATTAGTCCTCCATGGTGTTTCTAGCTCACGACTTCACGATGAGATGCATTTCGGGGCTGAAAAGTGCCTGGCTGGCGATTTACAATTGACGTGCGGCTAAAAAAACGAACATCCTAAAAACATTTCCGGATGAGCATGTCCAAATCGCCCCAAATTTAAAACAAAGGAAGTCCAAGGAAAAAGACTCGACGAGTGATCTGTTTTATCGACAAGATGCTAGCGCACTCTTGCGATTTGCAATGTGTAAACCAGGTGCCGTGTGTTTTAATGCTGTCTCATCAAGAGCACGACGGATTCATCGCAGGGCACAAGGTCCCTGACCGTCTCATGGTGCTGATTCACATGAGGTCAAAACATGCGTTGCTGGATTCAGTCCCTCCACTCATTTCCACACCCAAAACGCGGATTTTGCTTGATTCTCCCTTTTTCTCTGCGGGTCACGACCGACGCCGCTCATATTTTGCAAGGAACAACGACAACAATCTGCTGGGTCAACTTGTGCAAGCAGCATCAAGTCCTGGCAGCGCGTCGAAAAGAGGAAATTTCACGAAAAGAATGAACGATTATGAAAAAAGTACCTGCTTCTCATCAATATGCGTATCCGGTTTCTGTTGATTCAATGGTGCTGTGCAGAGCATGATTGGGCGCGTCGAATGGTACAAAAACCACGGCATCGCGCCCCGTAGTGCTGCCACAAGAAGAGTAAAACAGAAAACGCAGGCTTTAAAGGCTTATTTCTCAACGAAGTCGTATCTTTTGGCTGCACAATTGACTCTCAAAGGCCAGGGCGTAGCGCCGCGCCAATAAAGAAATGATAAAAGACAAATCTGAGCGGCATTTTTATGTGAAATAGATAATATTTACAATGTAGGAGGATAAATTCAGAAAGAAGAGGGGGAAAAATGCAATTGATATATAGCGGATCGCTTAGACAGCCGCGGTGGGCTTGAAAAGGATGACATTGGGAACGGGCTCGTAAATATACTATGATGAAACATGAAAAAAAAAAAAAAGATGAGAATCGCATTTTGACTTTTGTGCGTTCATCCATCTTACGTCGCGGTAGAGTTCCTCCATCTTCATGCGGATCATGCACTTGCCCGGCACCTTTTCTTGCTCCATCAAGACGTTCCAGAGCTCGTGATCTTGCGGCACAAGGCGCGTCAAGTGCTTGCGCACAAGTCGCCAGCCCTCGCCACTGTAATGCAAATCCAACACGCGGACCAGGCGCTGCAGGTGGCAGTGGAACACGGTATGATACAACAGCTTGTAAACCTATCATGGAAAAAAAAAAGTGGGGAGGGAGACGCAATGAGCACAAAAAAAAAAAGTCGCATTTTTAGACATCTTTTTTTTTTTTACCTCGTCCTTTGTTTCTGCGACGACGCAGCTCTCGGGGAGGACGTCAATGTCGACGTTGCACGAGTTGCGGAGAGTCTCGCGATGGACCTTTACACCGCCGAAATCGCGGACGACAAAGCCCTTTAGTTCGCCTGTGGCGCGATCAAAGCGTGCGAGGGTGTTTTGGCCGTGGGCCTCGAAAGCGACGCCATTGACGAGGACCGGAGGCAGGAATGCCTGCAACAGGAGGTCGACGTAGCGATCAAGGAAAGCGACGCGCTTTTCGTAAGTGTCGAGGCCAAGGGTGTGCTCGACGAGGGCCACATGCGTGTCGGGTTGCTGGATCTTCTCGACGAGGGCCGCACAGGGGATAATTGCATCGGCGCCGGCCTCGTACTCGAATGCCTCGCGCACAACACAGCTGCAATGCTTGGCAACATCCGTATCATCGTGCTTGTACACGGCGCTGGCCAGCTCGCGCTCAATGGACAGCACGTTCTTGTCATAGGTCAGGCGCGGCACCACATCTTCCGAGAATCCAGGCCCGAAATGCGTAGAAAACGGCGTAATCGTGCGCAAAGCAGACGACACCTTGATGCCCAAACACAACTTGAGACTTTGGCCAGGAACAAGCTCCGGCGCCGCAATCGACCGGATGGACGTCAGGCTCTGCACAGACACTGAATGGCCCGCAGCGTCAAACACATGCACATCCGCAAATCGCTCCGTGATGTTGGGTAATTGAAGCTCGTGCACAGGCATCAACACGTGCGACGACGTCCACGCCGCTTGCTTGTCGCGCGTCATCAGCAAGTCGATCCAGCCTTGCGCGTGCTTGTGGTAATCGCCACGCAGCGTCGCCGACTCGATGGGAATCGCCACCAAACGCAGCGTCGGGTTCTCCAAATCATTCTCACCAGGCACAAGGGGCTTCATTGGAGGGAAGCTCTTGCGTGCCTTGTGCATCTATTTAGAAAGACACGGAATGGTCAGCAAATCAACTTTTTTCGCGTTTTGCCGCGTTTTTTTCACTTTTTTCTATCTTTTCGGCTTTACAGGATGCGTGGCATGGCCTTCCAGAATGCTTTGTTCCCACGCAACGGATGACGATTGCAGAGTGGGCAGCACCTTTGGGTGGTTATAAGCAGCAGCTACAATAAAAAATAAAAAATAACAAGGAAAATCAGTATTTCTTTCTTTGGCATATAAAAATCGTTTTTTTTTTTTCCTGTTCCCTCCGTCGTCGATTGTGGTCAAAAGGGATCTCAAAAAAGGCTAGCTTTTTACCTTGGTGGATCATGGACGAATCGAGTTCGCCGGCAATCTGCTGGATCAGCTTGTCATTGACATCCATGCGCGTGGCAAAACGCGTCCACAGCTGCACGGCGTCCAAGCCATCGATCAAATACGCGCCGTCGCCAACAAGCGACGCGAGAATGGACTCGGACGCCTTGGCAGTGGCCTCGGCTTGGCTCACGGGCGGGTATGAAGCAGGGGGTTGCGATGCCACGTCATAGATATGCGGCAACATGTCCCAGCCATCCACGAGCGACACAACAAAGGGCGCGCCAGCAACAGACGACGACACAGGCTCAAGCATGGGCACGCCACGGAGAGGCACCACCACCAGGATATCTTGTGCTTGCTCCAGGGACACCTTGCCAGGCTGCAGGACAATACAAAGACCTCGCACGTCCTGATCCGCGTTCTTGTTGGGCACAAACAACGCCCGCGTCAAGCGCTCGGACACGAGACACGAGATAAACCGCGACGTTGTGGCAAACTTGGCAAAGTGCGCATTCTTTTCGACAGACGAGGCCACAGGCATGTTTAAAAAAAGGGAGAAGAAGGGGGTGGGGGGAAAAAAAGAAAAAGGGAAAGCAAACAGAAAAAAAAAAAAAAGGTAAAACCCATAAAAAAAGAACCCCAAGATTGATCGGGGTCCCAATGGATCACCTCCTCCCTTTTTGCTCCCGCATCTTTTTAGCTTATCTGATCATCGTGTCACGCCAATCAGATTATATTGCTGCAACCCGCAATCCCACCTTGGACACGTTAGCCTTTTTTGTTTGGCTTTGAGCGCCCGCTGAGCCGCACCCGACTTGCATCTGATAAGTAAATGTGTCGGACACACGCGCTAATGCTGCATGCCCTTGCTCCTCCCTTGCCGCCCTGGTGCAACATCCCCTCCACTCCGTTGACCCAGCAATTTGTCTCACGGAATCGCTAGAAAAAGCGACATTTTTCAACCGAAACGACCCGCTGACGACATTTTTACGCGGGGCATCACAACAAAAAACAAAAAAAAGGAGGGAGAGCAACAACGCACAAGGTGCGCCTCTCGCTGCAAGCCAAGGTTGCTGCCACCCGTGCAACGTGCCAATTGCCATTGGCACACGCGTCAATGGCAAGTCTGACGAGGAAAAAAAAAAAAAACAAATAGACAAAACAAGCGCCTGACCCGTGCTAGGGAGCCGGGTCCATCTCTGATCGTCGTGCAACATGACACTGATCATCAATTGAAATCACCCGAACCAGCAAAAGCAAAACATGCTTGCGTGAGCGTGGCTTGCATCATCGTCATTGGCCCGTTTGAATGAAAAACAATCTTTTTCCGTCGTCCTTGACGTCCTGCCACATGAGAGAGGAGCGGCCAAGCATACTTTTGGCCACGCGTCCCCCCACTTTAGGTATTGGCGCCACGCACCAAGGGGTCCCAGTGCAACGAGAAAAAAAATGGCGATCGCACCCATCGCCTCCATTTTTCTGCCTGGTGGCGCGTCCCATTTGCCTCTCAATATTAGCCGTGGCCATCAAAACCAGGTGACTGGCGCGGTGCAACGCAGCCTGGAATCGCGATGGGGCATTCCCATGCGCCTGTCGCGTCATTTCAATCAAAATTTGCAAAACGCAAGTATTCCAAGTTCACGCGGGCCCCGTGTCACCCAGCTGGCCTCGCTCCGTTGGCGAAAGCCTCGGATGCTCATCACGTGAACAACCTGTCAAACCAAAAAAAAAAAAAAAAAAAAAAAAAGAAAATTAAAAGGCAAGCACATTCATTGTCTTTTGGAATGCTTCCCTACCTTCATGCCGAAAGACATTACCTCAGTCACATCGCAAAAGCTTTATCCATGCTAGTGCGTTCCTGCCATTGCAAGAGACATGGTGTAGAGCCATGGTGTACAATGGCAGCCTAAAAAAAAAAAAAAAAAAGAAAAACAGAAAAACTTGATCATTTGAAATCAATCACATAAACAATCGCTGAAATCGCCCACCCTCCCCATGTCACCACTGTGTCCTCAACAGCCCCTGCAACCGATCTGCGTCAATGCAGACAAGAATAAAAGAGCAAAAGTCAAAATCGCGAAAATCGGACTGCAAAACAAAAAAGTTGCATCTGGACCATGCAAAAATGAATGCCTTCGGGGGGGCTCGAACCCTCGACCTTCAGATTATGAGACTGACGCTACTACCAACTGAGCTACGAAGACCTTGGATGTCTAAAAACGAGACTGATGCACCAAAGGCCAATTCGAAAAACAAAAACTTGCGTAATAATCCCTCGGGGTCACAGAGACGATGTTGTAGATTATTTTAACACAAAAAATTTTAGATTTTATGGCTTTTTTGTAGACGTTTCGTTCGTAGGTGCCTTTTTTGTAGCTGTTTTGTAGCCCGTCGTAGCTTATTGGTGAATTTTTCGTGGCCCGATTCGTAACCAGCCTGTGAATGTCATCCAATTGGCCTGTGCCTGTTTGGATTATTTATTTGAATTGGTGTTGTACGTCAGGCACCACCAAAAGGAGCAAAAGCTTACGGAAGAGCTTGCCTTGTTGGAAACGGCTGACGTTTCTTAATTTATCCGGTATCTAGCTGAAATCCTGAAACGACATGAAGTGATGAAGCTGATTACCAAGTCCGGCACACCCTCGAGCGCATTGACCGATGTGTGGCGCATTTTTTTTTCATGCTACAGTTCCGGTGTCTCAAAATACCAAACCCACGTAAAAAAAACATATATAAAGCGCGCGATCTCCTTTTTTTTTTTTTTTGGATGTTACGTACATATCATGGGTTTTCTGTATTCGCAATTTTTTGTCACTCCACCTTATCCCACGCAATCTTTTGCTGACCAGACGGTGATCATCACTGGTTCCAATGTCGGTCTTGGCAAAGAGGCCGCGCGTCATATTGTTCGCTTGGGTGCTGCGCGCGTCATCCTCGGTGTCCGAAATGTCGAAGCCGGCGAAGCGGCCAAGCAACAGATTGAAAAGTCCACCGGACGTCAAGGCGTATGTGAGGTGTGGCATGTGGACTTGGCGTCGTTTGATTCGGTGCTTGCCTTTGGCGACCGCGTCGCGAAGCTGCCACGGCTTGATACCGCTATCTTGAATGCGGCCGTTGCCACGTCCTCATTCCAGTCGGCTGAAGGATACGAACGCACCATCACCGTCAATGTCATCAACACACTTCTGCTCGGCATCCTGATACTTCCGACACTCAAGATGACTCGACGCAAGCATCCATCGGTCCTTCCGCACCTTTCATTTGTCGCCAGCGAGGTACACGCCTGGGTGTCCTTTCCCGAGTATAAAGAAGCCGAGCCAATGAAATTCGTCAGCGATCCGTCCAATGCAAAAATGAATGAGCGGTATCCACTTTCAAAACTGCTCGAAGTGCTCTTGGTGAAGGAATTGGCGAATCGTGTGGCTGGCTCGGATACGATCATCAACATGCTGAATCCAGGCTTGTGCCACTCGGAACTGGGGCGTGATGCCGGGTTTGCATTCTCTGTGTTCAAATTCTTTGTTGCTAGAAGCACGGAGGTGGGGTCGAGAACATTGGTGGCATCGGCCGCTGCTGGACCCGACAGCCACGGTGCGTACATGACTGACAGCCACGTGGCGAACGATTCTCTCTCTGCCTTTGTTCGCAGCGACGAAGGCCGTCAGGCGGGAGAAACGCTGTGGAAAGAGCTGAGTACGATCCTCGAAGGCATCAAGCCTGGGATCATGCAAAATTTGTGACCTATTCTCAATAAAGCAGTAGATAAAGCATCCATCGTGTCTCTTTTCGATTGGGTCCAAAAAGAAGGCGTCGTTCCTCGGATTTCTCCCGTTTTTCTTTTTTCTTTTTTTTCGGCTAGCAGTGCCCACGTCCCACGCGTGACAATTGCACATTTGGCACCCCTAGTGCAGCGACCACTTCCTTAAAACGCTGACTTTGTTCCTTTTTGGTTTTTTTTTTTTATCTTTTCATCTTGGTGCACGCTTGTCAACGCATCGCAAGCCATATAACAACGTTGGACGAGGGTGAAAGCTACCTGTGAATTGAACAAGTGGGCAAGGTTTTGGTAAAAATGACAGAATAGCGGCGATTGCGGATGATTGGCAGCTGACAATGCTTTTTTTTCATAGTGCCTATTTGTTACATAAAAAAGCAGCACGAGCAATGCAATTGGCGCACAGCTTGGCATGAAAATGCTGTGTAATTCGCGCTCAAATAGAAGGCACGCGTGCAAAAGAAAGAAAAAAGCACGCGTGCAAAAGAAAGAAAAAAGAGCAACTCATCAGATTTTCCATTATATTTCAGCCCATTTTTGCAAACACGGCCGCATCATTGGCTCTCACAAAGTAAAGCACGCGTCAAACAAAAAAAAAATAGAATGGAACCCACTTCAATCTCATCGTGCTTTCTTGGTCTCCTTTTACAAGACAAAGACGCGCCAATTCGCAAATGTAAGTACGGTATGTGTCAAAATGGCGCAAACAACACTCATCGGGTCCTCCATGTATTATATAGTCTCCTTGCTGCATACCAGAGCGCGTTCGATCGCGCGTGCAAGGTAAGCACGCACCAAAAAGCAATATGGAATAAGTTTCTCATTGACTTTCTGTTATTAACAGGTGCCCGCGATGCCGTTGCTGCGTGTAAGTGTGTCGATTCCTTTTCTTTTTGATTCGTTTCCTTACTCGTCTTTAATTTAGACTTTAACGCACAGGGACGCAACGTCCAATTCCTTCCTCAAGTCAAATTACACGCGCTACACGCTCGATCTGGCCAAAGTCTCATCAATCATCAGTATCTGGAGGCAATTGGACAAAACTACATGTTGTAAGAGTCATTCCATTGAATTTATTTGTAAAAAATCAAAATATGTGTCTGCACGTGAATTAAAAGGCTATAAACGGGTGTATGCGTTAATAATGCTGTCAAAAGCGCGTCAAAGCGTGTCAAAAGCAGAAAATAAAGCTTTTAAAAAAACCACGGCATTGAACAAAGAGATGTGACGAAAAAAAAAAAAAAGATGCGCGCGACGTTGAATTCATCAAGAAAATTGGATGGAAAGGTTCGTGAGAGAGGTGCATGCATAAACGGTGGCAGATTGATGGAAGCAGAGACTATTAAAGGCGCAGTTGACGGGAGAATCATCAAAAACGAATCGAGGGGACTCGCCATTGGCTAGTTGGTTCTTGTAGTGTTCAAGTCGCTCCAGCAAAATAGGCATGTCATCGGCGGGCAGTGTGCGAGCGACTTTGTGCAGTGAATCAGGCCGCCAGATTGTTACGCTCGGGCCAGTCGCATGTCGAATATCTTGCAGAACAATCTGCAAACCATGTCTGTCTTGCCGTGTAACTAGTGTGTCGACGTGAACAGGCAGAGACAACCAATGGAAATTTTCACCTGCATCTTCAAACAAATAGAACAGCACGTCCGTCCATGGATTTTGGGGCTTTACCAAAGGCGTGAACTGCAACGTTTCAAAGCTATGGTCATTGAAAAAGAAGTTTTTGGCGGTTGGCAGCTGCAGCAAGAGCTGCTCCAGTGTGCCAGGGGAATGGAACAAGCATGAGTCAAAGCGGAGAAACTTGACAGGGGAAAATGGTTGCTTCAGCAATGGACAGCGCATCCGAAAATGATCGAGATGGATTGTCTCCAGTTGAGGGGCATTCAGAGACCATGGAGCACTCCAGGAAGGGGTCTTGTAAAAGGGAGCCCACTCAGCAATGCACAACGACTTGGCGTCCTCAAGTGGCAAGAATGCCAAAAGATCCAGGCAATTGGCATTCAAAACCAAAGAATTCAACGCGCGAGTGCCATTGCCAGCTTGAAAAATGGACCGACTTGTAAAATCACCATCCAAAGAGCGCGCAAACGTCAAATCAATGGCTGTGATTGATAACTTTTGCGGACAGACGACATTGCCTGGAATGCGTGCGTGATCGAGCGGCGTGAGGCTGCCATGAATGTCTTTGCTGCTCTGCAGGTCAAGCTGCAATTCCAGGCTGTCGAGGTTTGGCATCAGATACAGCAAAAAGTAAACCAGATCCATGATGTTGCATGGCTCGGCTTGAGGAGGTTGCTTGTAAAAGATGTCAAGGCACAATCGACGAATGCTAGGACTCTGGCGCTCCTTTTCAAGGGATTCATAAACGAATGGACGCAACGGCTGGCTATTCACTTGGTCACTGGTAAGACATTCGATGCGAAAATCACGCAAGACTGGAAAATTGCGCACAATCACCAAGACAAGATGCAAATCCTCGGGATTGTTGTCGCTCCATCGAATGTGGATCTTTTGCAAGGCTGTGGAAAAATGAGGCGCGATCGATCGCATCTCCTCTGATCTCGCCGTGAGGTCAATGAGGCCAGGCAGGCAGACAAGCTTAGACAGAGTGGTAGGGTTGCATTCAGCAAAAAAAACGTTGAATACCGTTTCCAATTCGAGCTCAAGATCGTGAACATTTTCAAGATAGGGGAGAAGATGGTTGACAAAATCAAGTATCTCGCAAACTCTGTTTTCCCACACGTCGTCGTCTGTCAAATACACCAAGAGTCTCTTGATGGCAAGCTGCATGGTGCCACCGGCATTGAGATGTTGTATCATTGGTTGTAAACGATCAAAACGAAAGATGATGTTGTCAGAAGCGACCTTGCTAGCAATTTGACACCAAACTCGGCTGACAAGACGCGCCTCAAGCATGTCGCGAGTCTGGACACGTTCCAAAACCATGCTCACGAGCTCGAACGGCAAGGAATTCATCAGATAAACGCAGAAAAAAATGGAACAAAAAAAGGGCGAGAAAGAAGAAAAGGAAGAAAGAGAGGGAAGACAAAAAAAAAAAAGAGAGATGCTAAAAAAAAAAAAAAGGAACAGGGGCAGACGGATGAAGGGGGATTTTGCATGGTCGTACAAACACACAATGCTCTAGCCAATGCCTTTTTCAACACTAATTCCCACACCTACCCCTTACCATTTCATCAGCAAATGAACCTTTGTTCGCACAAAATTGCTCAAGACAAAATCAAATGAATGCAGTAAAATCATGAGTTGCTCGATCTTTATTTATAGAAAAGTCATCAAGCTTGAATTGAGGTTGCCCCGTCCCGCTGAATCTTGCAATCCCTGAATTTTCTCATTTGAGTCGACCTCAAAAAGACAATTCTTGGAAAAAAAAATCAGCATTTAATCGCTTTTGCTCATTTTCCA